CTGTCGTAATAATGGATTATGTTATTGCACGTCAGCTGAACGTGCGTGGATCAATTACTTCGGGCATGATTACGCTGCTCAATTGACAGTACCAACGATATGCAATAGAGGAAATTTATTAAATGGAGAATTCTCTCATAGCTTTTGCATAAAGGACTATAGCGTAACTCCCTCATCATCCACTTGCCTCTTCGTTTATCATTTCGCTCATCTCTCCCAGCGGAATAATGAACTTGGCGTGTCTAATAAATCTTCCATCGTGATAGGATCATGTGGTTGATGCGCGGAAGATGAACGGACTTCCTGGCCACGATCTCTCTCAGCCCAGGCAGTCAGATATATTTTGTCGTAGCGGTAAATTATTCCATCGCGTTTCGCGGCCTCTCTGCGCCCGTCGTCATTTTATCTATCAAACGCCGCTCATTATGTAATCACGTCAGGTGGAGGAGGCCTCGTTTATACCATTAACGATGCGGGTCGACCGACGCGAACCGGAGACTCTCGACGAGCACAGACTCGATTAACTCGCCGCTCGTGAAGAGATCAATCGCGGCCTCGAACTTGACACGCGGGGCATGATTCGCGGAAGTGATCACTATGATCTCTGATTTCTTGATACGTATCGTCCCGTTCGTCAGAAGAAAAGTTTCGATATCTCGCGACAAGTAAATACTCAAACTCTATTGTTGTTGACTTCTTTTCATTTATATTTTAATCAATCTCTTGTTTCTCGACTTTATTTGCGTGAAATTTTGATTAGAATTTTTTTTTTGAGCAACAGTATGTCTAAATCTATTACGTAATAGATTTTAACAAGATTTTTGAAATAAATATTCAATATTAAGATTTGCCGTATTATTTAATTCTATACTTTTTCAGTAGAAGATGAGTAGTCAATATTGTGCAAGACACATTCAGTAAAAGTTTAGCCGAAATAAGTATTTATTTTTGTTCTCAAATTTCGCATGGCAAACTTACGAAATAATAGCTCTGCTGGAACATAAATATGAGTAAAACTTGTGAACAAAGCGCAAAAGATATTCGCAGATAAATTATGACAATTGTATGTAAATGTCTACGTAAATCATCTTTTTTAAGGAAAGATGAGTTTTATCCGTATGAAAATGTGAGTGATTCTACATTTTTAAGATGTATAGCTTTGTATACATAAGTGATGTGATTTTATATAAAGACTGTACCAATATACTTACCAATATACCAATATACCAATATACTTCATCTTCTTTGTTGACGCACAAGATCTGATTGCTGTTGCGCTTAACAAATTATAACATGACAATCTTGTCGTGATTTATATCTGAGACGTTTATTACATATGATAATTATTACTAGAAAAAATAAAATCTACACATTTTAGATAATTAATTGACGAAATATAAATTTTCTTTTTTCGAAGTTTAAATTCTGAAAATTTTTTTGAATATACATTTTACGAAACTGACTTGAATCAATTTTTTTTGCAAATTAAAGTTATTTTCCCGAAAATTCATCGAGTGGTTACAATTATATCAGTAATTATTTCAATATTATTATAATTATCAAAACTATTAACATAATATCAATTACTATAATAATAATTTCAAATTTTATTGTCATTACCATGAAGTATAGGCCTAATTTATGACCCTTAAAACGTCGATTTTTCAATTTTATCCGTTTCGAGACATGAAGCCAACATGGTGGACGCCTATTTATAGCTAGTGGAGCGAGAGTAAGTGGCACTCGTTCTTGTTGCTTCAATTGTTATCCCTTCCTCCGTTACTTTTCCCCTCCAACCCCGATGACCTGAAACATCCGGGTAAATGGGGCAGAGGGCGAGGCGAGTCAAGAATCGCCCGGTTACACGGGTTATCTCGTCGACATCTTTGAAATAAGGTCACGTTGATCGCTAACATGTCTTCTGCATCGTTCAGTAAACCCTTGTGATTGCGCACGTGCATTGCATATGCATATGAGTTTCTAAAAAAATAGAATAATTAGTCATTTCTGTTTAAATACGTTCGATCATTAAGAAATTATAAATGCCTAATAATTAAATGCCTAATATGTGGATATAAATTATATATTAATTAAAAAGTTAATTAAAGCTTTCTTCTTACAAAATAATATTTTTCGGAAAATTTGAAATTTATCAAAAAATGATAAGATAAAAGATAGAACTTTATGATAGAAGAATTATTTGAATATTGTCATAACAGAGAAAAAATTTTTATGTACGATTTAAAATCTAAAAAAGTATTTTCACTACTATTTCTTTCCTTTGATACGACACAAAATGCATGTATCACCCATACAATACATCTCGTCAATATTGAAATTCGTGATCGAAAGATGCAGAAAGTTACAACTGCCGGAAGATGAAGCTTGAATTTTGCATGATACTCGTAAAATGTAGCGCGTGCGTATTTCCCTCATAATTCTCGCAAACTTTGATCGACCGAAGTACAAGTGTTATCAGCAGAAGTTGCGAATGTTACTCCGTTTCTCGTAAAGTGGATGCACCGAACGAGATATATGGTAGGATGCTTTTCGCGAAAATTGTTTCGTTCTCCAGCTGATAAAAGTTTCAACAAAAATTTTTAATCTCGATAGTCCTTATTTATATATTTATTTTTTAATACATATACCATTAAAATAATACGAGTATTATTGCATATAAATAATTTTCTAAAATTAAAGATTTTTGCTTGCTTTAGGCTCGGACGTCATATTTATAAAATTTGACTCGTTTAAGTTTTTGATAAATAATGACACGAAACAGAGTTGCATAAATGAACAATTTACTATGTTTTTACTGCTGTCGCGTGTCCAGTTACAATGTAAATTTAAAAACATAATGCACTACGGGCAATTTATGTTTGACGCTTGACTTACGATCGACGACGTAGTTTGCATATTCTCGCGTGTACCAAAAAAAATGATAAGTTTGCTGCGTCGTCAGTTTCTTGTTATCGCGCATCGGAGTTAAGGAATATAATTCCGTTAAAATCGCCGAAGAGACCAGTGATTTTCTGGCGGTCGAGCCGTGCGCTCGAAGCAAATATTGGCACGAAAATTGATACGATTCGTTCGACATTTTTTGATTTATCGCAGAGTTTGCATTAATACGTTGAACCAGTTTTATGTAATAAGCATAACTGTCTTTTGAGGAAAATCTAATTGCAAGTGAATTTATTGTAAGGTAGGCAGTATATATTTTAAAGACAGGACAGACAATCTTTCTTGTAACTGAAAGAGAAATACAAGACAGATTCGAATTGCAATTATTAAACTCAATTTAATTATGCTTCTGTACCGAAGAATTGTAAAAATAAGAATAAAAGAAAAGTATTTTGAAAAATAGTTTTGAAGATTATTTGAAAGACTTTTTTATATTTCGAAGAACGAAAAATTGTTTATCGAAAGTATAATATGAAAAATAAATAGCCTGTTCGAAAAAATCGCTTGATAATTAAATTTTAATTTAATTTTGAAAAGAATACATAATAGCACATCAATATAAAAATATGATGGGAAATCGAACGCATTATATAATTATATGCTTTTGTCTCTGTCGCAGATGTCAAGGTTTTATCTATATTTACAAATAGTACATGATTAAGCTTTTATTATTGGTTATAGAGCTCAACTTGATGAAAGAACGAGCTAAAGAATATTCTATATTATCAATAATTATACATTAATAATGTAGTTAGATTTTCAGGACTATATATCGCCAATTAAAAACAATATTATATTTAATCTAATAAATATCATATTTTCGAGTTGCGATATTCGAAATTAATTTCTCTCGTATTTCGTTTCATGATATATTTAAACATTATATTATTTATATATTTAAATTAATCTTTCACAAACCCGATACATTTTGTCTGTGATTTAAATAAAAAGTAAAATATTTTAAAATGAGGAAATTATTTTTTCGTATTATCGTTTTGTTATTAATCGATGTAAATATGGTAAATATATAGAACGGAATTTTCAATTCTATAGTTAAAATAATCCAGCATACGTCCCTGGATATTCCATAATGTTCTCTGTTATTTGTCAGTTCGGCAAGCCACATAGAATATTCACCTTAATTATCCTGCCTTGCGGCTACGCCTCGAATCTCCGCTTCCACGTCAAATTAGTAGCTGTACACGATATGCAGCTGATTGATTCAATTATTCCATCGCTAACAATTTACTGAAAACCTTTATGTGATTTTATGCTCTGATCATCATAGTTCATCATAGTTGAAAAGATCGAATTGTCTAGGAAGCTATCTTTCTCTTTACAGAGCTTGTCAAAGCGTGAGTAAGGTCTAAATTTCAATCATTGGAAAGAAAATAACGAAAAACTTAGTGCGAGTTGGATTTGTAGAAATTATTTTTAATATAAAGTTTTATTATATTTTTATAAAACGAAATCCATAAAATCTGAACATTTTATATAATTCTCATGAGTTTTACATATTTTTGTACAATTTATATTTATTTATTATAAAAAGTTATAATAAAATGTAAAAGTATGAATACATTATAAAATTATAAATTTAAATATATATATTTTCTTTAAATTCTATAATATTCTATCGATCTCTCAATCGTTTCTCCAATCCATAATGACAAAAATTATATAGATTTTTTTTATTTTTAAACATTTTTTCAATTATATGTGTATTTAGTAATAGTTGTTTAATTGTTAAGATTAACAATTGCAATATATTCTTAAGCGCGTATTGGTAAAAGATTACCAAGCGGCTCAGTGGTCTAGGGGTATGATTCTCGCTTTGGGTGCGAGAGGTCCCGGGTTCAAATCCCGGCTGAGCCCAATTTTTTATTTTTTGTTCTTTCATATATATATTTTGCTAAAAATTTTATATATCATATAAAGAGAGTGTTCCTCCTTACTCGATGGGTGATCACTCATCCGCGCAGTTTTCGCCGGAAAGCCTTTATTACAGCTACTATAATTAGTCATGCTTATTGTTGCAGGACCGGCAGTATGGCAGCCGAAGAGGGGATGCTGGGCGGTGGCCTGGGCGCAAAATTGAAATGCCCGACTCCCATATCGCGGTTGAGGGTGGAAAAGATCGAGGGAGGTCTGATGGTCGCCGGCGTAGTAATAGCAGCGAATTGCCAGATCGCACTTCCGGCATTCGGTACCCTCTTCATGCTCGTCGGCGCCGTACTCACTGGTTCGTATTTCCGGTTTTTGTCATTTAAAATTACTTCTGTCTTTTTTTTTAGTTACGTAAATGTATGTTTCGTGTAAATTTTATATGCATAAAAAGAACGGATAAAAAGGATATATTTATCGCAAAAACCGATGCAGTACAAAAAGAAGCTTTAGAATCGTCAGGAATATTTTTAAAAGTGCATTTTATGTCAGCCTGACAACGTTTCTCTTGATATCGTTACTTTTTTACAAAACATGTTGCACGTCTCTGTAAATCCTGTATTATATATTTCCTCTAAAATCGTAGACTCGCACGTAAAAATATTAAGCAAATAAACTCTAACATTAAAAAGACGACCATTGAAAATACCGTGGAAGTAGAAGTTTATCATCGCAAAGTGCTACATGTCAAATAAACGATAGATATATTTGAATTTTCTAAATATTTTTGCAAGATTTTGCACCGCAGGGCTTTTAATTGCGCTGCATTATTCCATTTTTATAAATGCGCTCGCATAAATTGCAATTTTGCTAAAGTGCACAGTATGTCGGACAATAGTGAGTCTCGTGAATATCCACCGGTCTCTCGTGTTTTTTTCCGCATTATTACCTCATAACGTGTTATTTGCATCCGCATTTGCATCTCGACAAAAGACGCGGAATTCCAATTGATTCGACTAATAATGAAAATCACTTCATTTCATCGAATGAACATCATGAGAAAAAAAAACACTTTAAAATGTCTCTCAAATTTTGAATTATTCTATTATTTGCGATGAAAATACGATAATTTTTCACAATATCGATCGAATAAGTATGTATATATCATTTTGGAACTTTTACTTATCTTTTTTATTTCGACGCTTGTTCGAATATTCATATCTATTTTTATATAAAAATGCGTCACAGCGTGATTAGTTATGAATGTAATCTCTATTATGGATATAATCTCAAGCTTTCCATTTCAGAGAAAGCATAGACTGTACAATTACATGTGGGTCGCGTTTTAAAAAGAGAATCGGTATTTATTTTAGAGCGAGATATCACGATGATTAATGCTTACGAGAAAGTGCGTCTTACGTGTTCTATTTCATTTAGTGATATATTCTAGACTTGTTATTATTTGATTTAGCAACATCCGCTATATAAACGTTATCATTTCTTTCATTATTAATGAAACATGCGCGGACGGACTTGATATCGATTTTTTGTGAATATTATTTGAAGATTATTAGAGAGAGCTATAGAGAGATCTTTTAATATTATTTTAAATATAAATGATATTTTTATCGGAGTAAAATTAATAATATTTGTTAGAAAAAGAGACTACGTTTTTCATTGATTAAAGCCATAAAAATAATTTTCAAAATTAAATATAATCCTTGAGAAATATTTTAAAGATTTCACAATTTTTCGGTTTGAAACTAACAAACTTTTATACATTTATGATAATGATAGATGAGTAGTGTGTATAAAGCTGAAATTATATGAAAAAGATGTTTGAACGACAGTTTAATGACTATCAACATATGATATCGATAGCATAAACATAAGGAAGAGATAACTGACAAGTCAATATTCTTTGTTGTCGCATACTAATGATCGAAGCCTTTTCGCATACATATTATAAGCGGATTAATAGAAAAAGAAGCCATATTCAACAAACCAAAGCAGTAGTAGAACTGCGCAAAAATATTTAGAATTCTTCGAGCATCGTATACGTTTAAATTGCAAATTACTTGATTGTAATTTTTAATAAATTACGTCGCAGTTACATAGAGTTTGTCTTGCCTTTATTATGCTTTTGAAAATTATTATGCTTTTGAAAATATTAATATATATTCATGAAATCAAAAGAGAAACCTCGGAAGTCTCTCTCTCTCTTTCGCAAATAAAGATATGTTAATGTGATTTTATTTTAATTTTCATTATATATACATATTTTTTAAATATTTTTATATATTTTATATATATTTTATATATTTTATATATATTATATATATTTTTATATATTTTTATATATTTTTATATTACCTTTTATATTATTTTTTATACGTTTTATTATTTTGTGCATTAATTTTAACATCCAAAAATAACATTTGGTGGTGCGTCAGTTGATTTTGAATTTCATAGAATTTAAAAAGTGAATTTCGATATTGATAAATATTAATGTATCAATATAATAAATATGTGTGGAAATTTTTCAAGGTTTTTTTGAAGGCGAAAGACCGTTTGCCGTTCTTTCTCGTTGAATTAATTTATGAGACGCTACAGTCCGTGTATGTCGGGACACTGACCCCAGAGATAGCACCATAGACACAGCTTTCGTATCACGGAAAAGAAGAAGCGAAAGAAAAAAAAAGCAAGAAGGCTCAGACTGTTCGCCAAGCAACAGCTGGCTTCTCACATCGCGCGCTCCGTCACTTCGCCACGCTTCTTCACATATACGGGATGCCGAGTGTTGTTACCAACCGATTTATCAAAACCGGTCTGTCCTCCTCTCTCCTTATCCTCCTTTTTTCCCTGCCATCACCGCGTTAAAACCGGTCCTGTAGCCCATTTCCCTTTCGTTATTTCTCTAAGCGTCTCTCTTTCTCTTAGACACTTATCCCTCTATCCTCATCGCTTATTCATGCTGCGTTAATGTCTTTGTTACGTTTATCGCACCCGAGTCGAGGCTTCTTTGATAGAGTCAAGTGGAACAGAGGATTTTATTTTTGATTATGGGATAAATCGATCTTATGGACTGAATGGATCGCAAGACACTGTCTTGCACGATATTCTTGTGATACATTTTTATTCACGTCCGCGTTTTTTTTTCTTTTTTTTTAAATACATAACTTTTTACATTATTTCATGTATTATTTTCACTGTGCTTTCAAAATATGCAATTTTGTTACAACAATTTTCTTTTTCAAAAAATTCCTTGTTACTTTAGAACTATAGTAAAACAAGGTACAAAAAAAGAATTAATATTCATACACGAGAAATTCTAAATAAACGCGTATTTGTTTGTTTTGTTTATTTTATTTTATTTATTTTGTTCATTTTATTCATTTTATTCATTTTGTTCATTTTATTTAATTTATTCGCATTATTATATTTATGTAAAAATTTGCTTATCTTATTCCTAAAAAAGGAGACGAAGAGAAATTTAACGAATCTGTCAATCGTTTATAAAGCGGTCCGCTGGCGTTATCGATTAAAATATCCTCGGAGGCGAACCCTTCTGTGAACGTATTTATGTTCGTAATTTCCGCTGCTCGTTTACAGACGAACATTTTCTCTTTAAATATGCCACAACATTCTTACTTCACGATCGGTGAAGATAAGACACAAGTGTCATTACATTCCCAAAGAATTTTCCTCTGAGCACATGAAACTTTACGCTAGAAAAGTTTATGCATTTGCATAGTCAATGCGCATAGTAATGCGAACCTGTTCGAACCTCGTCGGACCGATGTAATTACAGAGCTTTATGGAGTACGAAACGATTTTGCGGCATTGTAAGAGAAACACGCAAAGAGAACATAAAGCTTTATCCGCTAAGCTCTGAGCTTTACTTCCGCGAAAGTCGAGCACAATGTGACCGAAATTGTGTTTGAATAACCTAGATCGTTTATATAAAATCACACTCTTATTGTTGAAAACATTTCCTGAGCGCATTTAACAATAGAGAAACAAAAGTAGATTATTCTCACACACAACTGTGAATTTTGCATAAATTGTTAATAGAATTAATATACTTTTATGCGAGAATTTATCTCGTTTCTACTAAAAATACGTTTTGTTTTTAGTCGAAAATGTAAAAAAATAACTGCTCGAAAAATATTAGAAAATATTTTTATCAAAGAAAAAGTTTTATTTAATTGTAATATAATTAATTAGATATTTAATCTAAAAAAATTTTGAACATAATTAAAAATTGATTTAAAATTAATTTAAAAATTTTGCTTATTTGTTGCAGCTGCGTCTTATCGCGGCCCTGGCGAGGACGAGGACAAAAATTCATACGCGGCACGAATCGCCTTTACTGGCAATTCTCGCATCCTGGGGCCGATTTGCATAGTTGTGGGCGCCCTTATGCTTGCCCTTGGCGTGCTGCTATGTACGCTCACAAGACGCGCCAGGCGAAGGGAGCGCAGGGTGGGCTTCCATTGCCCGCTTCACGGGGACTTCTATCCTCTTAGTCCAGTTCAGGGTATCAAAATGCTCGGTGAGTCAATCTTTCGATTATATTACTTAGTCTTTAACTAGATAGTTAGTCCTTAAATCCTTTTGCGTAAATTAGCGTTCCTGAGATTCTACAAGAACGAAAAAAAATTGAGATTATTTATTATTTGATCGATTAATCTGAATTTGTGCAAGATTATGTCGCAATTTGAGAAGAAAGCTCGCGACTTCAAATTAATCAAAATTTGTTATTTTCAATTTAGTTTAATATAATCTCATGGTTTTCGCGTATTTTTAATTGTGTCTATAAATTCCTTTTTAATCAATTAATTATTCATTTTTTATTTAATAGTCTCATTATGATTTTAAAATGATTGTTTACAAAATTTATTTATATTTTAAAATTTACTTAATAAGATTACATTCTATTAAAAATTTTTTCATTATTTACTTTTGCCATTATTGCAAGTATATCGACATACTTCTAAAAGTAAAGTACATAAATATGATACTCGCTAATCGTGTGAGAAGCGAAACTTGTTTCGCATTTTTGCAGAACTTATATGCTATGTCTCGCGATCATCTGATGCATGTAATTACCGTACATAAATGTGCCTGCAATTTCGATGATATCTTTTTTTCAAAGAACGAAACAGCCACTAAAATGCTTCTCGAGAAAAGATCTCGATCTCTCCAGACAGCATCGCCAGTCATTATCGTGATGTCACGCGATGCTATTACACCTTTTTTTATTCTCTTAAAATTACAGTTAAGTGGTATGATCTTCATACAGAGATGATGCGTTGTCAGGCATTACAATCATAATAGTTAACGTTAAAATGTCTGTCGTTGGCAATTGGTCGACTTGTCCGTCTTGCTTAAATCACCGTTCTTGATGATCATTTGTTCTGACTTTGCGTTGGTAATATTATTCAAGTTAAACTTAAATCTCTGTAAATTTTTTTTGGAAGTAAGTGACATATCAGTTATATTTTGCTGATTGCGTGTCTATTATAGATGACAATTAGTTTGACAGTCCATAATAAAATGGATTTATATGATATTTCGGCATTTTAAGATTTCATGCCCTTCAGTACCGTCTTAGAAAACCTATCAGTTCGTGTTGTCTTATTATCGCGAGCGTGCCAGGTCGTGTCAATTGCTTCGAATTCAGGACGAGGCTGGATCAGGCGAAGAGTAGGGTAGCTAACTGGATTGTCGGAATTCAGGCTAATACGACTCTATCAGATTATTGCGTAGGTTGATGCGCGTTGCAAATCCTACAAGTTTCCGCGTTCAAGCGATCGAGAGAAATCGCTTCGAATGGTGTGATGGTAAATCCACAGCGAGGGATCAAAGTTTTTTTAATCTAAAACTTTCGAGGTCGGAGAATTGCAAGAAGAACGATGAGAATTTCGAGAGTTATTGGCTCTTAAAATTTAGTACGAAATATCAGGGTGTTAGATTATAAGTCTGCTGGAGAAACGAACAATTTTCGATAGTTAAATATTGAATGCACACGAAGTCAGTTATTTTCCGATAGGATGAGCATCGCAGGTAAAGCTAAAATTTTTCAAGAGTTGGAAGAGAGCAGCGTGGTATAAAAAATTTAAGATGCTTTGAGAGAATTTAGAGCTTGCACTGGCTACATTTTGATAAGAGACACGAACTCCCGAGAGAATTGTTGCTGTAGCGATCGCATGTTGACAGTTGCTGTTGCAAGTCGAAACTCGACGGTGCAACGGTAATAAAAATTGCAATGTAGCTAGTCTGTTCACGTACGAATATCTCTTCCAAACACGAAGCGATCTAACGTTCTTCATATAAACTAGTAAAGTTAATGGAATTTTAACGTACTTTTTTTATTGAAAATACAATTTTATTTTATATAGAAAGTAATATGATTGTTAAAATTATTGCAGTATCCACATTTCCTTTCCAAGTAAAATATATAAGTATTATGATGTTTTATTTGGAAAAAATATATACAGGTGCTAGAAAATTTATATAAAAATTTATTTTGGTAATAAATGTACACATTAGCTTCAAGAACAATTTAAAGAGAAACGATTCGCGCAAAGTTGTTTGATTAGCTTGTATATCATAAATCTTCTCACGAACACGTGCGTTCTTACTTGGGCTTTATGATGATACACGTTTCTCCACTCGTTTCCACTCGACAATTTATTCAAATCGCAAAGCTTGGAACTTGACTGATTGCCCAGTCGCAATTTCTTTCGCAGCGCAGCACGCAATAAGATCTTATTAGAGTCGAAGGTCGTTTTTGCATACTCTCGCACGTTTCTCACCGTGAATCACCGCAGCTCAACAAGCAGCTTTTTAAGCTTCATCGATGCGCGAAACCTAGGAAGTGTCATTCCGATGACGCAAAAAACAATCCAATAATTCGCGGTGACTTTTTGTTCCATGACATGTCGCTCATCGTGATAAAATATGAACGTCGGAAAATGAATAAGACGGACTAAAGTGCTTGATCATTCTCTCAGATTTAATCGTTATTTTTTTCGTAAACATCGTAAACAAAGCTCGCTAAATAAATACGAAAAATCATATACATCAACGATAGAGCATCACCGGAAACATGAGAATTCTGCTAATTGAATACAAATACTCAAACTCAATTGAAGACGCAGTTTACTCATGACATTTGCATTTTGCGATAATGGGTCAGTGTTCGCGGGATCATGAAAATGATTGCGTGTAAGAAATAAAATTGTTATTAACAATTAAAAATTTGTATGCATCGTTTTACGCATCGTGTGATCGTATAATTCATTTCGCGTAACTCCCTCAATTGATATTTTTGATTACGAGATTTTATTATTTTTTTCCAGATGATTTCCATTTATTTAATTTTAAAATTACAATTTTCCAGATGATTTCTATTTATTTAATTTTAAAATTACAATTTTAAAATTAATTTGCATTTTTGGAATTATTTGGTATTACAATTCTATATCACAATTTCGATTTTGTGGAAAGAATTTTTCGAATTTTCTTTTCAATATTTTTTTCTCCTTTTATCGCTCAGTAGAGGTATAATCTACTCTGTCAATCACGTTGACAGTGAGCGGATAAAAATGCAGCCGGAGAAGCATTCTAGCGTTAACAACGTCGCGTTTATAAAGGGACGATTTAAGAAGGATTGATTTCATGCTGCGAGGATCGTCTCGACCATTTCTCGTTGCGCGAAATTCTGAGGAAAAAGAGTATACAAGGTCGGAGTGTACACAGTGCGCATGCATTATTCCGTTCCATCCATTTAATTCCAGTCCGAATGAATCATTACTGTCCTTCTCTTTTTCTCCTTGTGTATTTGTCGATTCGAACGCGTTGTTTTTCATGCAATTTCTGTTCGCATCCGGAGCATCATTCATAAGTACCTCGCGTATGTGCGCTGAAAGAGCATAGCTTCGGTCTATTCTCTCAAGGACGAATTCTCTTTCTCGTTTTCCCTCTTTCCCTGCGGTAAAATATACCTTTGTGCAGTTTCCGCGAGACTGATCATTTTCCAGAAATCTTATACCGACGATGGCCGCAATGTTCTTGCTCAAGTACTCGAGGCAAGTACGTATAGGCAAGTCGTTTCAAGATGAAAGTCTTTCATGATATCTAGTTTCCAGAGAAAAGAATGCGTATACTTTTCAGATTGCTACTTACGGAAAGAGAGAAGGAGAAATCAACTTGAAAAAAATATTGACAAAGTTCGTTAAAAGTTGATGATTTATTTTATTAATTAATAATTTCTGAATCAAAACGTATCTTGCCGCGGAACAGGATAATATCTTTATTGAAGATTTCAATATTAAAATGTTGTTGCTTCAAAATTAGAATTTGCGACAAAAAATGGCAATTGTTAATTTTTAAATTTTTTTCCCGGAATATTTTCAAGATTTTTGCAAAATTTTTGAAAGAGAATTATGAAAAATGGTGTGTCGATTTATGTAACACATATCATAAAAAAATAGAAAATAATGAATTATTTTACTGCCAATTTTTTGACAACTTTACGAATTTTTTTTGTGACAATTGATTGGCGTTTCTAGTTTAAGTTTCTAATTTAAGTTATGCAACGATATCTTTTTTGAGACAAGCATTTACTTGAAGAAAAATATTATTGTGCTTTTAAAGCCAAATTCAAATATTCTGACGACGCTCGTCAAAAATACAATTTCTCTCTTTGCGAAGACGATTGAACTGGAGTTTCCGCTTTACGACAAAACGATGAAATTATGTCTGGCTTCGCGAAGCATGGATAAATACAACTTGTCTCACGAACTCAAGGAAGGAGTCGCACAAAAACACGAGCAAGGATGTTTTACCTGGATGTAGACAATTAGGGTGGTAGCATGGAAAGCGTGACCGACAGCGCGCTTTTAAAAATCTCACCACGAATACTCGAATACAACTGCGAGAAATTGTGTAGAAAATGATAAAACAAAAAAGTAAAGTGTGCAAATATGACAATTGAATGTTAACTGCAAAGAGTAAATTTTAAAAAAGGCAATGTTGTAAAATACTAAGAATAGCGTGTGAATTTCGATTTTAAAATCTTGAAATCATGTAATAAATATTAATAAAAATGGAGACAGAGTTAGAAATTAGCAACGAGAGACAATATTTTATCGACTTTCTTCTTAAAACGAGTTTGTGCTGGGAGAGATATTTTGCTCCGATAATTAAGAAAAAGGTGACTTCAAATTGATCGTAAGACTCGGTGAAATGAAGATCAGATATTTCTGGATGCTTTGCATATTCCCCACACGAACTGCTCAGCAAGTTTGCTATCTCCCGTGCTAACACGGATATCTTCTGCGAGCGTTTACGCTTCGATAAATTCATCTCGTCGTTGTCGGAAACTCTGCCGCAAATTCGATCTTCGCGGAGCACAAGTGGAGTATGATTCAGCGATAAGTTCGCATGCAATTTTCCTGCAAGAACATTCCCGGCGATGCGTGAAATGCCTGCCCCGAGAGGAAGAGTCTGGGTGTCGTGCACCCCGGGCGATCTCTTCTCGCTGTC